ACAGTCATTAACGGCTTTCATATATATAGATGGAACTATTGAAATTCATCCATCCAAGGTAATTGTTTATTCTCAAGTCTATCTAAACATTATACCTTTTTTTTTTTTTGATTAACGAACATACTATTCCAAAGGCATCAACCGGTTCCCCTTTACGTATAGACGATGATCCAACATTTCTTCTGCTCCTAGACGTTCCCCATAATTCAAATGAACCAACAACTTCTTTAGTAATAACTTTCCACATCCATCTAAAAGAGCGCGCTGGAAGTTTTGAAGTTCGTGCATACGAATTTTTACCGAATTTGGATAATTCTAATGGTGGATCGGCTTTTGGATTGATACCAATTGTTTTGCAAGTTGGTGAAGAAAGATTGGTAAAAGATTTTAAGAGTTCTTTAAAAAACAAGCAAGTTTTTTTTTTTTTTTTTGTTTTATTAGTGCTTGATACCGTTTAGACTTTTACTTATAAGAATCATATATATAGGTTAACCGCTTCTGTTGCATCGTGTCCAAGATACATTACAGGTTATGGTCAAAGAGTTGTAATGTTATGTGAATCGAATGAAATAATTTTATGGAACTTGAAAAAAGTACGTCACCTAATATTAAACCATGCTCTTTTGATTCCAAATTCACGTGATATGTAAAGATCTTTACGTTACATAGCATTGGGACAGCTCTCTTCGCTTTGAGTGGCACAGTACAATCTCTCTTCCCAATTCGTTTCCAGTAACAAGCCTTTGCGTTACGCAAAATTTTATTTTTTTTAGCTCTACTGCTTTCAAATCAAAATTAAATGAAGAATGTCTCTGCGTGATTTCAATTAAAAAATTATTAGCTGTCAAACTTTGTACATGCTATAATCGTGAAGAATTTTTGATTAAAAATAAAATTTTTGATGTTGAAGTGGAAGAAAATGAGGATGATAATATTGGTAATGGTAGCACAGAAAAAAGTGACAAGAAAATGATGAACACTACACAAATGCGAGTGCAAGCTCCAAGACTTGGATGTTTGGGTGAATGCGGACATTTATGCCTTATACCATTAAATAACGTTGTATGGGAAAATAATATCGATGATGCTGCAATATATGGTATTTTTATTGAATTTTATTTTCTAATGTACATTATATAGTAGTAAAAATTTTTTGTATAGATCTACAGGTGATATCGACAGATACGATTCTTCTTTATACAACACTTCCCACGTTATTCATCATATCTGCATGCATCAAAACAATCATGTTACCAATTTCTAATAAATCACGTAGGGCATCATTAGATGATACACTTCCCGAAACAAAATATCGTACTGTGTTGTCGTGTTTTCCATTAAAAGATTTCCCAATTCCTGATTCGACCGGTGTGAAATTGATGAAAAAAAGTAGCAACATCAATGACACTGGAAATGTTGAATGGGGAAGTGTCTTAGTCGGACGAAAGGGATTGTCCGTTGTAATGATTGAAAATCCTTCTGACAAATGTAATGTTAATATAAGGGAACAAGATACACAAATTTTGGCTCAACATTGTGGTGATATATTAATGGCTACCTGGGCGAATATGCCACTTGATGCTATGGATGGAAGTCACAGTACAATTTATATTGTGGCAGTGGATCAAGATGGTATGCGGGATTTAAATTTTCAAAGTGATTTTCTATCATCGCTTACATTAACTGGAACTCGTGGCAATAAGAAGGAATGTGAAAATGGTAAATAAAACCAATCTGTCTACACTATGTTATTGTTAATAAGTTTATATAATTATACTAACATTATCCACAGACTCTATCTCTGAACTCGATAATATTTCATTCAAAACTATCGGTGACATAACACTACTCTGGAATGATATCTCTTGTCGTTTAGTACGAGCAATTTTTGTAACTTCTCACATAACGGATGTGTGTACACAGGGTAATGATATTATAATTGTTGCTGGAAATAAAGAAACTACATTATACATCGGTAAATGGTGTGGAGACTAAATTATCAATAACAAAAGTCTTCGCAGTGCTTTCCGTAGGATTGCCCGTGATCTCGCAACTATGGTTATTGATTTGTTATGAGGGTTACTAGTATGATTAATTTTAATGTAATTTAGAATTATTAAAAATTATAAAATTCATATCATTAAATTAAAGACATCTTTAACAATTAGGCTTTGTCTTTCCAAGTGGGATCAGTCTAAGTCTTGTTACATATATACAATGTCGATCATAAATAATGCAGTAAAAAAAAAAAAAAAGGTTAGATCGTATTATTTCGCGAAATTCGGAACATATTTTACTTTTTTTTTTCTTAAATTCGTAATTAGTATCATTTTCATAAAAATGTTGGCATGAGCTGG